TTGTTACCATTGAGTATCAGTTGCTCCAACTTATGGGTAATGAGTTCATGGTGCCTGATTATATTTTCGAGTGGGTCATAAGGATGTGGCCGAGTTTCAGGAGAAAGTCATGGGAGGTTTGTACGTACATGTACATTCTAGTGATAGCGAATCATCACTACTTTGCCATAGAGATCATCTTTGCTGATTTCACTACATATGCGTATAACTCCGATCATTCATGTCTGACACAGGGTCAACTTGAGCTTAATTTGGAGCTGGTGGCTGTGATCGTTCCTTTGATGGCTAAACAAGCGGGTGTGATTGTGCAGAACATATTAGTTATCGTGCAGGACACGATGACAGCGAGACAGTCGAAATCGTAAGTATTTATAATTTTTTAATTTGAAAACTTCATTTTTAGCTACATGGTGCTGAGCTAATACATTATTATTTAATTGCAACAGTGATTGTGACATGTTCGCAGTAAAGTATATTAAATTTTTGAATATAACACATAAGGTTGATGGAATCAACCAATCCTAGATATAAAATTGGAGGAATCAGTTAGCGTATGATTTGTGTGAATTCAATTGTGATCCGTAAATATTGTAAAAAAAATGTAAATATTGTATATTTAGTTGTGAAATAATTGTAAATATTGTAAAAAAATGTAAATATTATTCTTTAATAGCGATACCATTACACATCCGTCTATTTGTCATTTAGAGGAATTTGATTTGTACAAAATTGACGAATATACCCTGTTGCTCTACACTGTAGCACCTACGAGGACAAGGAAAATCTTCGATAGATGGTATTCTAGACATACGTGGACATCCAGGATCACGCGATTCAATTTCGAGTTGCAAAACATTATTAAGTGGAAGACTATGGTAGGAACTTCCTATTTGGCTTCATTCGGTTGAGGAAATATAGTTTCAGCATACATCACTCTCCAATAATCAGCCGTGTAATAATGAGAGTATACGATTTTCGCTGTTAAACCTCTATACATAGCTACTGTGACTACATGCTCACATGGAAAACTCTCCAATTGAAATCGACTACAAGTCAGTCAAGTCCATCGTGTATGCGATATTACGTACATATTTCACAGAGAAGCGCAAGTCATCCAGTGGTTCTACATTCAACTTCCTCGCAACCTCCAGAGCCTTGAAGAGTTTATCTTCTTAAGCCGGTGCTAGCACATTCTGCAGCTTGTTATGAATGTTCTCAATCATGTGAAAATTGATAACTCTCGATCCTTCTTGAATAATGTATTGAGAGGCTCCACATTGTTTGACGTCATCATATTGTATCGACATCCTGAAAAATATGAGTGTACCTAATGTTCAATCCCCATTTTTTGTTAGATACTCTCATGCTTGGAATGATTTATTTCCTATTTCAATCGGGACTTATTACACTCTTTAACACCGTAAGTTTTGACCGCTCTTCTGAATAATGAAACGATACCTTTGCATCGATACCTAATTTTCAGGTTGCCTTGTATATAATACATGCAATACCCATGATGTGTCTCGGTAAAAACTTCAGCGATACTATTTATTATAGACTGTCCCCGATCAGTTACAAAGGTAAGGTCCTTGACTACCCTAATTACTTCTCTCGACTTCGTAAAGAACCAATACATCGACAGATCATTCTTGCCATCGACTATACCGAATGTAAGAAGGTAAATTTGGATGTTGGCATCTTGACATGTAGCAATGATCAACTTGCCTTCGTATTTAGATTTCAGAGCTATACCATCGACTAAAATTAGAGGTTGCATCGCATTTCGAAATTTCTGAATGCATTGTCCAAGAGCCATGAAGAAAAACTTAAAACAATTCTTGCCCTTCGTCTCAATAAAAAAATGTCGAGCCAGGATTAGTTTACATATGGCAATACCTAGCCAATTTAGCATAGCTCTCCTCGATCGAGCCCATTAAATCTTCCAACACGCATTCTTTCGCCTTCTATGCCTTTGGTAGCTTGTGACTACTCTGTACTATCAACAGACGTCATTAATGATTTCCTAAGGTCTGTAGCTCATCCGTGGTGGGTCTTGATACTTGTGCATTATATGTCGACCAACAAACCACGCTTGGGCTTGTCTGTGATCTTTTCTACAAATTCCCACATCGCAAGTTTGTTTTCGTGTGTACTTGCAAACTACAAATAACTTTTTCGTGTCCATCTTCATTGTTCGCAGACGCCAATAGCAACTATCATTGACGCAGATATTCGTAAAAAATGTTGCTTGATTTCTTCACTTTAAACTCAAAGTTGTATTTCAGTGAAATTCGGTGCACAGCTTCCTACAAATCTTTCTTTATTTCAAGCAGTTGCTCATCATATAAATACTCATCATAGGAAACCACATGCAAAAAATTAGATGATGGCCCACTCGATCCAGTCCTGTGCTCCCGCCCCACGCATGTCTCTGATGGGATACAACAATCAAATCCTTATTTGTAATTCATTATCGTTATCACAAACTATCAACGAAATTCTATGCGTAACATCGACATCACGATGGGAAACAATTGTCTCGAAAATAACCACATCATCCTCACGAGCTATCTCCAATGTATTTCAAAAATCATTGGCATTGTGATCCCCCTCCATCCGAATTTTCGTGTTCACTTTCGACGACATTTTTCTTCACTAAAGTTACGCAAAGAGCAGTCATGTGCATATTGTTCAATTCAAGTAGATAATTAACTTCAACATCAAATGTAACCTCATAGGTGGAATCAGAATGAATCAATGCTCGTTGAATTGAAATCTCAATTCCATATCATGCTGAGAGGGATTGACATTCAGCTTGTTTTATAAATCATGGTACATTCCCGCACATGATGCACTCGATGTTATGGAAATTGGAATACCACCACGTATATCACTCGTCCTTTTTCATACCCATCGATTTTTTTTCATCCAGCTTGAAATCACCAAAGTAACAAATTGGCATTACAATCATATCTGAATGATGAAACATAGTTTTAATTAAAAAAATAGTGAAAAATCGGCTCAACCACTAGGCAACATAAATTTATTATAAAAAAGGTCGAGCAAGCTATGTTAACAGTCGGCCCAGCTGCTTAGGTCAGCTGTTAAGGCTGGCTAGAAATTAACATTGTCATGAATCTATTTGAAAAAAATATACATGTAGATGAATTTTTTCCTTGGTTATGCTTAAAAAAATTATAGATTTATTAAAAAAAATTATCTACATGTTAATCTATGTAGAAATAAGATTTATTGATTAAAAACATATACTAATTTAATAAGAACGAAATTAAACATATGTAAATATACTTATTGATTCAAAGTGATTGATATGAAAAAAATATTTTCTTGTTCAGCGTTTATAGATTTCTAAGATTTTGAAGTTGAAGCGGATGAAAGATGAGATAATTTTTATCTCTATTAGAATAAATAGATAAGAAAAGTTAGCTGATTTTGAAATTTTAAATAGGAAGTGTTTGATTTTCACTTGTTAACTAAAAGGGTAATATTGTTAAAAGTAATTTGATTTTGAAATTTTATGTATGGAGTGTTTAGTTTTAATTTTTTAACTAAATTTTATTATTGTCTTTTAAACAAAACAATATTTTATAATTGTATAACATACTTAATGACTTCTTTGTCTTTTAACAACCAAATGACCATTGTGGAAATATACAATTGTTGAAAATTTAAAGTGAAAATTAGGGGGTTTGACCAATCCATTTTTAAAAGTACCCCGACTGTCGCTTGAGCTACAGCCAATGCCACGCGAGCGACAAACTTTCTGCTTTTGGTGCTTGAGTGTTGCACGGGTGGCAAGCGAGCAACAGGAAAGGCTGCAACCCTTGATAAATGTTCATGAGTTTTGGAGCGTGTCTTTCCATCCACAACCCTTCAACCTCTATATATTGGACCTTTTGGACGTGTCATTTAGACATCCCAAATTATATTCTTGGGTCTTGCATTAAAATTCTTATCAAAACTCTCCAAAAACTTTGCATTCAAAATCATTCTTTGTAAAGAGAAAAATTTGTTCAAATTCTTGGTTGCCCTATATATTGAAGTGCTTCTATTACAAAGAAGTAATCCGTTGCATCTTGAGGGACAATTGCCATTACTCTATTAGCACCATTGTGGGACAAATTTGTATTAAGAAAATAGTGTTATCACTTGCCTCGGATCCTTTAACCCATTCTTCTTTTTCATTTCTACTTTTGGTTTATACCAAGTTGTTATTTTGTTTAACTTTGTTCCCGTGTTGTGAAACTTGTCATTTTGTTATACACATACGAAACAGCATTATACCATATCCCCTAACAGTAAAAGTGTCTTGGAATCAATCAAAGTAAATAAAAAGGATTAACCGAACTATTCTCTCAAATTGACTTTTTGTTTTTACAATAGAGCCCTAGGGGTCCCTTTCTTAAAAGAACTCTTTAAATACTCAAGATCCATCATCTTCGGATATTGAATGTGAAGCCTCATAATACGACAGACTCGAGCTGCTTGAAACAATTCACTTCGAGATGATCAATATAAGAGACCGAGGAGACACAAATGAGATTTGAGAGGATGCATCTCATTGAATCCGAGTTTTGACTCTGCCCATGCTCAGCGTAAAACTAATATCACAAAGTTATCAAAACAAGTTTCATGGCACTGGAGATTAAAAAGAATCAAGACTCGAAAGAAGGCAAAATTTTGTTGGACAAAGACGATCTCATTTTTCACTATCTAGTTACCCCCTTGACATATCTAATCAAATATAATACCCTACAAGTAAAATACTACAACTTTTCTTAATTTCCATGGAATACAATCAAATTACTCGGAGCATCTGAAGTACGTGCAAGACTGCTTTGAATAGATGTACAAATGCTAAAATTGTGTATCATAAATTTATGATGTAACTCAAAATACTAAGCTACTTATAACTAACAACTTTATTTCTCGTTACTTTCTGTGGTGTAATCTTTTCAAGTTTCCAAGAAAGAGATTTACTATAATTGACATTTCATGGCAAAATAATCGCATCCTTCATAGACTTCCAAACCGGACTGACCCAGTTCATCTTCTTTGAAGCAAGCACATCTTTTGCTCATTTTCCCAGTCAAAGCTATTTCTACTGGTCTCTGGACTAACCTTGGATAGCCATTGTCGCACCATACCTGTAACAAATCATTTGAGCTGAGATGCAAGTTATGGGTTTTCTATGTTACATAAAATAAACGTGTAAACTGTTTTTAGAAGTCATAGCTAGTCTTGCTAGTTAGAGAACACTCATTTGTGACGCTCAAAGCTTTGATTGCACATTATCCTGTGTATCTAATAACGTAATCAGTCTCAAAATTTGTAGAAACTCTACTACATTTGCATTCGGCTAAGCTTATTAAGTTTACTTAATAAGTAAGCTCTCAAGTAAATAGATTTTTTGATTCGTCATTAGAATTTTTTTTTTTTCAAAGGTAAAAGTTACTTGGCCAAACATAATTGTTGGGGGCATATTCCGCTATTACAAACTGTCCGGAATAATGAAAGCTTATGGATGATCTAAAAGTCATACCTCTGAACCCTCATCTTGACTCCATCTTGAATTACAGCTGGGTACTTGAGCTTCTTCTTTCTTCTGTTTCTCAAGTAGCTGTGCACCTCTGGCAGCCTTTGCTTCAACCCCTTTCAAGTACTTCGTGGGGTTGCCTTCAATATCATAATAGCGACCAACCAATTTACCCACGAATCTGTAAGTAACAATTCAAGGACAAAGCAACAAATCATTGCACTCAAACAATCAAGCATTTGCCACCACATATATAATGGACAGAGTTTTAGGATACGAGGAAACAGAAGATTGGAAAATGCAAAAACACGGTCATTGGAAAATTGTCAATTGATTGAAATCCCAAGTAATTTCACTAGTAAAATCCCGAGGACTTCATGATCTCCCTCAATTTCAAGCAAAGTTTAGGGGGAAAAACTTATTAAAGAGAACACATGCACAAACAATCACATGAATTTTTGTGGGAAATGAGATGTTTCTGCAACTCTGATCGTGTGGAAACATTAACAATTTGATTTCTACATCTGAGACTTAAGAATGCATTAACAAAACTTTATGGCAAATATGCATCTGCACTGCCATATTTGGCGGCATCTATTAAAGCTGGAAATAGAAGTACTCTTGACAGGCATTTGCTTGGATAGTTTTTACTTGAAAATTTTATTATTTACATCAAGTTGTCAACAAATTCAAATAATGGAGTGAGTTATTACTCACATGTAAGTCCTGAAGTAGAAATCTCGCCATTCAACAATGCTTTTCACCTTAAGATACATAATGTTCAGACGTAAGAAATGGAACTAATAATTAAAAAAAGAACATCAATTCAAGAAACAGCATAATGCATAAACCTGTCTTAATCTAATAGACAGAAGAGGGCACTGCATTTTGGCAGTGGAGGGAAAGTGGTAAGGGAGGGCTTCTTTTCTTCTTTTATTTCCCCTGGAAGAGTTGAAGGGGTCATGTGTTGTAGGCATTTGTATAAATGTGTGGACTGTAAAGATTGTGGATTGACCCTAAAATAGACATTAAATAAGCGAAGTGCACTAAGGCATTTAGGATTCTTGGTGCTTAATGTAACGACCCAGTCCTCTATAACCAAGCCGTTATCATATCGAACATTCTGTCCGCTTTGGGAGGGCCTAGGCCCATCTTACCCCTCACGGCTTTCAATTTAAGTCTCCCATATGATGGAGATCATGAGTTCGAATTTTGGGGGACGCGTCAGAAAGCTGTGAGGGGTAAGATGGGCCTAAGCCCTCCCAAAGCGAACAATACGTACGATATGATAACGACTTGGGTATAGAGACCTGAGTCGTTACACTTAAGCCCAAAATGCAAAGGAGGAGCATGTTTCATCAAAATAAAGCTTGCATTATATCCAATAGAGATTCTTCATAGACAAAATTTTCCAGCTAAAATATTGCAGAATTTCCAGACCAAAATACGATCAAAAGTTATTTACAAATAAAATATTTCTAAGTAACTTCTAATTGATGCCATTTCAACAGCCAAAAAACCAAGGCAATTTAGCAAAATAGAAGAAAGCAATACTGTGGAAAGAGAGATGAAAAAGTTCAATAAGCATGTCTTTTTTCTCAGTTTTGCACTATTTTGGGCCGGCCGTGCTTAGATAAGGGAGTTCGCTACGAATTGCACCTCAAATGCTTCACACTACAATTCGGGCTTTGACGAGTGCCTAGACAAGCTTTTGAAAAATATGTACTATAGAGTGGCATCCGAACCTCCCAAAATATGCAAAACAAACTTAGGAAATATTGACTTACCTCAGTGCTAGACAAACCACGCAAGGAGTCAGTAAGTCCCTCACCTGTTTATCCATGAACATGATTTACGAAACACAAAATGAGTTGATATTGCATCGTATGCTATAGTTATCAAAATAAACAAGGGAAATATTGACTCGGCTAAAACTACCCACCATGCTCCTCCTACATGTTGGGGGACGGGGAGAGGATGCTCAAGTTAGCAGGTGACTCTATCAAAATCAGGAGTTAAAAAATTAGATAACCCAAAGAGGTGATTTATTTATTTATTTTTACGCAATCTTCCAGCATTTTTTGGCATTAAAATGTAAATTGTTAAATTACGAATTTAAGAGCAGGAATTATAACATAAAAGTAGAAAAAAATATTCTCAATTCTCTCAAAAGGACAACAAGTGTACCAAATATTAGGAATCACCAGTTAATTCCTTCAAACAATGCTCAATGGACAATTGCAAGCATAACATAAGTCAGAAGACTGCCTGTCCAGCTTTTACAATAGCAAATATGCAGTCTGTCCAAAAACAGTGTCATCATAAATTCTGAAATCTTTCAACAAAACTACCCCGAACTTGCTTGAAAAAGAAATTCCAAAATGGCCTAATTACTTAAAAGATGGTCAGCCTTCTCGCAAAATGAACTCAACGTCTATCAACATTCGTTACTATCAACAGCCAGAGAATCAGTAGCAGAACCAGCAGGCAATATTTGACTGTTTGGGAAATAATAAGTTAAGATTAAAGCAAATGTTCATAAAGTTTTAAGTTGTAATTGAGGAGAATGAAAGCTGTAATTTCTGATAACAATCAAATTTTAGGAACTCAGAATTGGAGTTCGTGAAAGAACTTGGTGATGAGAAAAATAAATATCTCAGGGTTGCAGAGATAAATTTATTGTGAAGAAGAAATAGAGGAGAATCCACTCAGGTCAAAACGGAGGTAAAACAAGAACATGTACTTTTTTACCAAGTACAGCTCTTGCATCACAAATGTATAGATAGATCAGAAGAAGAGATGGAAGCCAAGAAAACTTGAAGTCCCAGTTTCAGCATGATTTTGACTACACTGTTGCCCCCAACTACGATGGCTCATTAGACAACTTGGACTGCAAGTTGCTAAACAAATGACCTATGACCAAAATTCGGCATATAGAACAATTATGAAATGACACCAATTAAGCAAAACCATGACTAAAAGCTGACAGCCAATACATTAGAGATTGCCAAGACATGATGAACTACCATAGACAATTCCCAATGCAAGACCTATAATTTAGCTCTAGACTTCCAAATTGGACGTTTTTCTCCGACCACATAATGGCTGTTGCACAAGGATAATTATTCAATAAATTAATTCAAATGCATGAGAATGCTTCAAATCTAGCACTCTGTTTCCATTGACAGAAATGGGAAAGGAAAGGAGAATTCGATATGCATGTTCAAAAAAGTAGAATTTAAATAAAGGAGGAGAAGACGAAATAGGAACAAGATTTAAATTTTGTTTCTTTTTCATATGCAGGTTTTTGCTTCCTTGTCTATCCGTGTTAATTAAATACATCTTGTGAAACAATGGATAGTTCATTCTTGGGGTGAATAAATAGAGACACTGCTAAGGGATATAGAGGTAACAACCGATATTGTGATAATCCTTATAGCAACCTATTATGCGAGAATGCTTTCTCCTTCTCTTGCAGACCCTCAAGGTAGACGCTAAGAATTTATGGGCTTCCTTCCTATTTCTAACATGTTATAAGCAAGACCCATAAATTACTCTATCCATCATATTCTTTCTTCGCCTTTGTAACTAATTGTTCTTTCTTTCCATCCATTGAAAACAAATAAATGCCTCTTTCTTAAAGCTAATCCTAAAACCCTGCCATACAACGCCAATTTCATATAACAAACGACAACTACACATTTTTGTACAAGGAAAAAATAGGAAATAAAGTTGCAGGGGATATAAATGAGACGGAAAAAGTCTAATCTTAGAGGTATTATTTGAGAGGGTACAACTGAAATAGAATCTATACCTGTAAAATTTCCCGAAACAAATGCGCGGGAAGCATCCCTGAGAAAATCATGGTTTCAAATATTAAAATGCCAAAAAGGAGATAACAATCTCACTATTTTCTGTACCTTGACAGAATCATCACATATTTTCTTATATCAAATGAATATCAGAATCAATGATATTACAGAAAATGTTAATGAAAACTTTATATCAAGTTCTCAAGTATTATTAATAGGTAGCACTGTAGACAAATGTCAACATGCATTTGTAGCCAATTAAAGGAGGTTAAAACAAATGGATTGATATGAAACTCGTACCAAAGTCATGAAGTAAGCACGATCTAGCTTGTGTAAATTAAGACAGGTCTTTAACTACTTAGTCGAATACATATATCATGTCCAAACGAATGGCCATAGAAAGTCTTCAGCATTTTTCTGTAGTGAAATGCTATCTAACAATTGAGAGCAATTGTTAGCATGAATTATATATGATAAATATGAGTTGTGAAAGTAGAGTTTCTACTCATGTACATGATCTGTGACTAACCGACTATTGTATATTTTCAATAAAAACTATAAAGATCGCCATGGTCTTAATATTCAGCACTTGAACAATTTTTAAACAAATGCTCAATATGCTTTTTAAAAGGACTTGCAGATTCTACATTGTGAATGTAACATACTAGTTCATTTTTTGGAAAAAAATTATCTTGCATTGAATCAGAAAGTTACATAGTATTGAAAGGAAAATGGGACAACTATTTTAAGCTATTTTACAATTATACAATCAACAAAAAAAGAAGAATCCTAGAGATATTACGTAATTTAGAAGCATAAAATCAAGAAACCAAAATAACTCGCAATTAAAGAACTCCGCTGATTCTATGCAACATTTAGGCAAAATGTCTGAATTTATCAATTCCAACAAGCCACAATTATGACTCGAATTTCTACACTCCCATCAAGTTGGTTGTAGATATCTATCAGTCCCAACTTGATAATCTCCTCTTGAGACTGTTGTCTCAGAGTTGTTTTCATGAAATTAAATGTATGTCCACTTTTGTGCGTGATGGGGTTGTGGGCTATGCTGAGTGTAGCCTAATTATCATACTATAGTTTCATATAAGTTATATCCGGGAACTTACTTTTTCACTTAATAAGCAATATTACTTAAAAAGTTAATTGTATAAACTAAGCTTAACATGCTCTATTGATAATATCCAAACAAACATGTAGAGAAAGGAGAACGGACCTTCCCGCAAAATGGTTATAACCTCCTCCGGCACCGTAATGGCTTTTGCCTTTAGTTACATCAAACACTGACCTGATAGAAAAACGAGATTTATTAAAAGAGAAGCTTTTGGAACTATCCAGAAGAAAATGCATGTGAATAATTATAAAAATCAAAGAGCAATACCCAAGAATGCCAAGAAGAATAGGCAATTGAGGATCAGTGCCATTGAATAGAGCAATTTCTTCCACAGTGAAAAGTTTCTGAAAGAAGACACTGGTGAGGATCCAATAGATTACAATACGGTAAGATGATAATATAGAACTGGAAACAAATTTTTACCTCTTTAGGTTGATTGTGTGGAGAATTGAAAGGGAAAATCCTTAACAGGAAGATTGAGAGAAGAGCTAAGCAAATAGGGATCCAAAAGAATGGGGACCAACGCATCTTTTTCGCTTAGCCCAACTCTGAGTCCGATGACCGATTCAAATACGATTGAACTCAACCTCAAGTCGACTCCTAAGATTTTATGGTTAAGTACAGTTCGAAGATCACGAATTTTTATTAGTTTATTTACAGATTTCTATTTTGAGATTCAAACACACGTTTTATTTAAAATTTTATCAATATATTTTGTGTTATTTTATTTTATTAATTTCATTAATTAAAAAATAAAATAATTTATGTTAATATATCATCATACCATCCATATATTTTAAAGTTGATAAATCTTATATGTTTACTTGTTTTATTAAGATAAAATGCAATCAAATAATAAATTGATTTGATAAATCATAGCAAATAAAAAATAGTGAAAATTACCCAATTTTGTACATATAGAGAAATCCTTATATTGCACTCCATCACTCACCTTGTTAATTCCATTTATACCATTTGCTTATATGGATGACGGTTTTTACACTTGGCAGTTAAACTCCTTCGACACTTCGGTAACTTGCCATGTCATGAATCCCCAAACACGTCTTTATGATGAAAGCCTGAGATGGGATGAAGTATATGAACAAACCCTAACCCCAATCTCTCCTCGAAAACTCAACTTCCAAATTGTATGAACCCTAGCCCAAAAACAAAATTGAACGAAAACTGAAGGCTCGGTAAGAGTGATTCTTGAAACCGTTGAAATAGAGAGAACAAATGGAGGTAATTCAGAAATTTTCCCTTCTCTTTACAACGTTAATTTCATTGGTGCTGGATTTATTGTTTGAAGCAGAAGTTTCCGAAATCAATGGCTTTGTTGTTTGTGGAAGAGATTGGTGGTATGCTAGAGTTCGGAAATAGTTGACAAGTGTAAATCCAACAAGAAGCGAGAGTTGAGTTTTGATTGTTCAAATAGTCTCTTCCCCAGTTGCTTGTGCTTGATTAAAATTTTCTATTTGTTTTGGTGAAAGCGTCATGCAGATGAGGCAAAGATGCATTTGACCAGTTTATATTTATTTGTTCAAACAATCTCTTCCCTAGTTTCTATTTATTGTTCTGACCAGGAAGCATTGTTCAAATAGTCTCTTCCTTGAAAAGGCTATTGCAGTTGATTTGAATTGAATTCCAATTACCAGCACTTACTGAACCTTCTGTTTCTTATGTTTGCTTCTGACCAACCTTTTTTGTGTGTTAGGAAAGAAATTTGTCACAGTTGCAGGCAACCAGGGCACCAATTGTGGACATGCCCAAAGAAGCAAAGATGTCCAGATTGTGCTGATGGTTTTATGAAATGGATGGAAGTAGAAAAGACCGCAAACATTGGTCGGTTATTCTTTTGTTGCACTAGAAATTGTGGCTTTTTCAAGTGGAGTAATGTTGTTTGCAAACAACCAGGTCACCAATTGTGGACATGCCCAAAGAAACAACGATGTCCAGATTGGGCTGATGGTGTTATGAAATGGATGGAAGTAGAAAAGACCGCAAACATTGGTCGGTTATTCTTTTGTTGCACTAGAGATTGCGGGTTTTTCGAGTGGAGTAACGTTGCGCCCAACAAATGTGTACTATTACAAGATGAGGGCTAGTCCAGTGGTGTAAAAAATGAACGTGAATCAAGGTGCAATTGTTCAGCCATTCATAAGCTTGAGCATCAAACTGAAGATCTATCGGGTTTGTTCAAAACTCGTACTCGAATTACCGAACAATCGGACTCCGAGATATCCATCAACATTACGTTCCGCTAGGGAAAAGGAGATGTGGATGCGAATGAGAAACAAAAGGGAAGAGATTAGCGAAGACAATCCAACTATGTAGTTGATGAGAAGATGGTCTTGAAATTTAATGTTCTCGTATGTAGTATTTGCTTATCTTAGATATTTCATTATGTGATGTACTAGAGATTATTTAAGTAGGCTGAATTAGTTAGTTTACATATGCAATGTTGATATTTGGTAAATATTTGCTTATGTTCAACTTCTTTGCAACATCAGAACAATTGAACAAAAAACATCATTAGAACATTTGAACAAAACAACGTTACAACATTTGAGCAAACAAGCATTACAACATTTGAAAACACTTCGAATTTATAATCTATTCATCCACAAAACAACAATTGATCACAATATAATCTCTGCATCCACAACATTAGAACACCTTCCAATACATTACAATGATTTAAACACCTTCCACTATATCTAAACTAGTTGGATATGTCACATTACAATCTGTGCATCCAAAAAACCAGCCAACACAATCAAAACAATGCCAAAACTAGATTCCTATGTACATCACATAAAAATCGTAGCAACATTGGCACAAAAACATCGGCCAGAAGTACGCATGACAGGTATCTGCAGCCATAAAAAATTTGGTGTCCCCGCATGACCACCAACATTCGTTTCTTGAAGTTCGACTTGCTCTATTAAGGATACTCTACCATCAAGGACATAAGGAGCTAGCCCATCCTTGAGAACAACATGTTGCTGCTAACCTCGAGAGTTGGCATGAAGTGAAAATTGCGAACTTCATCATGTGCTTGGCTCGAACAAGATCAATTTCCTCGGTTGGGAACCAATTTTCCCTATCAAAGAAAATAACAAAATATTATTAAACCAACACTTTCTTCAACATGAAATGATAAGCATTAGCCATTATAAGTACTTACATGTCTTCTTAAGTCATCCGAAGCGTGCTTGCCCTTATCGATTGGCTCCAAATGTCCCTTACACCAGTTCTGGAGATGTGAAAAAATTATAAGTTGTTATTTGAATTAAAACTTACATCAAAAGGTGCATCAGGTCTAGAATAATATCTTTTGTTGTGGCCCTTTAAGCCACATATTGAACTTGTCATCGATACTCTTCCTTTTCTCCTGACATGCGATTTCCCCTGGGAGTTTACTATAACATCTTCATCTGCTTGCCTTTTCCTTTTCTTTTGCTTTCTTTCCCTTTGCGGAGTCATCCACGATGGTGGCATGATTGGAAGAGTTTCCAACTAGGGCTACAATCGTATTCCATTGATTGGATTCATAATGTTATCGTAGCATCGCAAATATGTATCCACTGTATAGCAGTTGTCAACGTACTCGATGGGATCATTTCTACACTCCCGTATGACAACCAACGCATGGGTACACGGTATTCCTGTCAAGTCCCACCTCCTAAATGTGCAACTCAGTTCTTCCAAGTCGAAGACATATGAATCTGACCTACAATCCACTTGCCATCTAGCCTTCCAGAAAAATGCAATGAGCATTGGCAAGCCCTTTTGTAATTCTGGGACATAATCTCCATCCGCACACCCTCATCTTACTTCAACGCTTCTCAATTCTAGTCATAAATCCTAACTGCATATCTTTGAACATAGCTACAATAAACTTCTCCCTGTCATCAATCAAAATCTTATTGAAAGCTTTGGACAAGTTGTTCAACAACATATCGTTCTTCGAATGTGTCCTGAAATGAGATCTACTCCACTCGGAAGGATGCCTCTCCATCAACCATTTATACGCAGCTTCACTAAGTTGGCGAATTTATTCCATCCACCGTTTGAAGTTAGCCATAGTAGTTGACTTAGCGGCCCGCCAAAGTAGGTCCTTCAAAGTCTTACCCTTAAATCCTTTATCGAAAAAGTTTGTATACATGTGTCTGACACGGAACCCATGTTTTGCCTCCGAAAATAACTCGTCAATCACATTACTCAAGTCCTTTTGCCTATCGGTCATCACAGTCCAGTCATGGCTATTTTCCATCTGAATATCCTCCGCAAATATATCAAAAACCATCTCCATGTAAGCCCTTTTGCCTATCGGTCATCACAGTCCAGTCATGGCTATTTTCCATCTGAATATCCTCCGCAAATATTTCAAAAACCATCTCCATGCAATTGTGTTTACTTTCTGGACAACGGCATAAGCAACTGGATATGCGGTCATTTGCATTTAGGCTGACTGCAGTGAGCAGTATGCCACCTAAATACCACGGAGATGCCACCGGTCTACTCCAATGAATTTTCTACACCCATGTTGAAATCCTAAGTGCTATCATTATGGTGGATCCTGGATTAGTCCGCAAAACCTCTGCCGCATACGACCTTAGTAACCCAAACCGTTCTTTGATAGTCCCGTTGATAAATTGTTTCGCATATCTTCTCGCCTTCCAAGCTACATTTCTAGTAATATTTATCTTCAAGTCCTCCTTTATTGTAGCTTGCATACTTTTTGTTTTCCACTCTGGATCTGCCTTGAATTGCTCCATGTACCGATCGACTATGAAAATGTAGTTACAATGTCGATTGTATTGATCCCTACTACATGTGTGTTGAGGCGTATATGACTTCACTTGAACCCTATCTGAATTATTCATCTTCGAAGCCCATATTCTCCATTGGCAATCTGATTTACACATGGCTTGAACTCTTGAGTCGTCATTCACCTTACACTTCACGTTATATCCGTTTACTGCACCATAAGTTCGGACCGCCTTCCTAAATTCTTGAATGGAACTAAACAACTGACCAATATGAAGTTGTGGATCCCGCATATCCGTTTCTGCCACAAACTCTGAAAATCGATACCCAACATCATCGTCAGATGAAATGTCCGACAACAATTCCTCCGATGACGGACATTCTAAATCATCGGCATCATCATTTTTGTCCTGTACCACTACATCATCTCCTTCTTGTTCAGGAGCCCCTCCATTACAACCAACCTCAATTCCCTCTGTCACATGATTGTCAAACAACCAATCATCTTCACCAGTGGATAGCTCATTATCGGAATCAATGAAGTCGGGGTCATCCTCCGTACCTATCACAGAAAGAAGAAACTGTAAAACATCAGCTACAACATACAAGTTGCTGAAGCAGAAGTGTGGGTAATTATGCCCACTGGTTATTGCACTCAAATTAGTAATTATGCCAAAAATGGGTAACCGTTTCACAACAACATACATAGAAGAAGTGCACGTTCATAAACGACGAAATGGTTCACTGACATTATC